ATTTGAGGTTGCTGTGAGCTAGGCTGACGCCACGGCACTCACTCTAGCCAGGGAACAGAGTGAGACTCTGTCTCAAAAAAAAAAGTACTCTGTGGACTTGTTTCTATAGAATATACATGCGTATATGTGAAACATCCTCCATAATAAACTTTTTTTAACGTTTGGATGTCTCACATCCTGGCCCAGTTCCTGACACTCCGTAAGCACTTACTCTCTGGTCACAGAATGAATCAAAGGGGAATACAGTGAGTGGTCTCTGATTTTGTGTTTGTGCAGCTAGCGGAGGTTAAATTGCTCAGGTTCAAAGAAACACAGAATTCTGCTGCTCCAGAAAACAGAGGACTTGGCCAGTTCTGATTACTCTTCTGATTACTCCAACAAGAGAAGCTCCCTGCCGTCATCTAGCTTGTAGTGATGGGTCAGTAGAAGTCTAGCTCCCGGGCCTCCTGACTCACCAGCCAGTGCCCTAAAAACTATATTCTTAACTTTGCTTATCAATAGAATAATGAAAAGCCATCAACTATTTCCAGAGTTCCCAACCCCAGTCTTGGCACTGTATTCCCAGAGCAGCCTGCTGGAATGTCTGAGATGTCTAGAGAGCTATGACTATGCTTTGGAAGAGTCACTGACCACTGAGAGTACAAGGGACCTGGCACAAGACTGCAGCCACAGACAGGACCAGGAAGACCTGTGCTCTCCTCTGTCCTCAACAGCGTGGCTTACACCAACAGAGGTGAGGACTTCTTAGGTCCTCACCCTGCACCTTTACAATTACCCTTGAGGAAAGAGCAATCAATGCTGAACAAAAAGGAATGTGGAAACATTTGTTAAAGTTGGTGGTAAATTCAGAGGGATATAGGGAACAGCACAGAAAAGCTGAAAGTAGTAAAAGGCCTATACTAAGATAAAATAGGAGTGAAATGAATTATGGCAAATCCATACCAAAAATATATCGTTAAAAAGGATAGTGGATAGTTTATACTTTACTCTTAAAGTAAGAAGCAGTTCAAACCTAAATAAAACATGATAACACTCTAGTTTTTAAAAAGTTATAAATGCATAGAAAAATGTCCATCAGGGCATACATCACATAATAAATGAGGCTTATCTTATGGTGTTTTGACTGTGTGTGGCTATAGTTTTCCTTTTACTGGTCTATGCTTTATAAAATTTCACAATTAATACTTTTTTAATAGGAAATTTGTACAAATAAAAAGTCTTACAAGAACATCACTGTAGAACACATGATTATTATATACACTAAGAGATGTCAGAATATGCTAGAACCAGCCTGGTTCAGAGTGGGCTTCCTTTCCCAGGGGCCTTGTACCTTTCAGGACGGAACTCCTCAGGCTCTGGCCAGTACTTTGAGTCTCGGTGAAGGGCATAAGCTGGTATGAACACCACTACCCCTTTGGGAATGAACACTCCCTTGATTTCAACGTCTTTCTTACAGACCCTCTCAATTCTTGCAGCAACAGGGTATAATCTGAGAGTTTCATTCACCACCATGTCAAGATACTCCATCTGTACCAGGGCATCATAGGTGGCAGGTGTCTAGGAACAAAAAAACCCCATGTTTTAATAAATTGAGAGTTGAAATCAACTGTCAGTGCAGTCTATTGAGTATTATTGAAGTGTTAGGGGATGAAAAGAAACATATTGGCAGAGGACCTTCACATCCTTAAGGCATTTTAATAACTATCAAGAGCTTGATCTGCTCTATGTCCCATTAGGCATGTGGAGATGTTACAGATGTGGGAGACCTGTGGGAACATCCCCTACCCGGGGACTGAAATCATGAGCATCACCACATAGTGCCTTTTCTTCTCTCATTAACAAATGTGAAGAAAGGAGGGTGAACATTACATTTCACGACAATATGTCAAAGTCTATGTCACCTTGCAAAAACGAGGCCACATGTGTACCCAGGAAGGGAAAAGAGCATGTAAAGAGCAAATCCCCCTGTTCCACATAAGGCTTTTTAGTTGGAAATCCTGCTTGGTAACTCTTTGATTATATATATAACATGTTGCTAGAAAGACTATAACAAGCTCTATAAATAATTTGAGGACAAAGTAGTGTATCTCCAACCCAAACAGGACAAAAGAAAGTTAAGATTGGAAGCTCCCAGGGTACACAATTTCAATTCTAGTAAAACTTATAAAGGGGATAGAAGTCCCACATTCATCCCCATCCCCTCTTGCTTAAACGGTCTACTACTTAATGCTTCAGGGCTTGACTATCAACTGTAAAAACGATCCCTTTGTGTTCACCTCTCTGCCCGACCAGCCTTGCCAGCCCCAGTGGCCAGGTCTCTTCACACCACAAAGGATCCCAGTTGGGCAGAGATCTGAAAAGAGTGTGGGTGATATGTCCCTAGCACTTCATCTGGTATTTGGAGGCAATGGTGTAGAGGTTAAGAGATTCCACAGGAGCCAGAAACCCTGGCTTCTACTTGGCTTCTTCACCACTAGCTCCATGACTGCAGCATGAGACAGGTGGTGGGCAGAGCTGGGTCCACCTGCCGAGTGCACCTGAGGCCAGGATGATCAGACAACAGCCAGAGTAAAAAGCCTGCTAAGCTATCTATCCAGACATGTGAGCAATAAATGCTTATTGTTAGATGCCACTAAGGTTTTCTTGATTTTTTTTTTTTTTGCATTATAGTTGTAACTGATCATAGTTGCATGAGGACCAGCACAGTTTTAGAAATGTCTTGTATTTCTGGGAGCAGCATCCAATACCTATATTTCTGCCTTTCTTTTCGTCTTTAGAGCCTTCCTAAGTAGTGTCTGTGAAAAAATCAAGGCTTACACATTTGGAAAAACTCCTCCTAGGAAGTGGTGAGCAGGCATTCTTGCTAAGGCTTCACCTCCTCCCTCCCTCTCCATGTATCATCCACTCACCTTATTAGGCAAAGCTGCATCAATCTCCTCGTGCAGTTTCTGCTGGACATCAGGGTGAGTGGCCAGTTCATACATAACAAAGGAAAGAGCAGTGCTAGTGGTCTCATAGCCAGCAAAAATGAAGATAATTGACTGGGCCACAATCTCCAGATCAGACAGAACTGAAAGGAGAGAAAGGATATGTTAGGCAAAGCAGGTCAATGTAGAAGATCACAGTTTACAGGAAAAAAAATTCCGGAGGGGTTCCCAATTCCTTGTTGAAAAAGTGGGAAAGTAACTCAGAGTCTCACTGGAGTAGTTTTCCTTCTGATGTCTGTGGTATAGAGCCAGAACAAGGCAACATTGTATTAACCCAGTTTATCTCGAGGTGTATATGATTGTGGCCCATCCACTCTTCATGCCATCCTCACCACCAACACATCTGAGTATTTCCAGAGAGCATTTCTGTCTAACATACTCAGTGTTATGGGTGTGTCCCTTGGATAATCAGAAAAGTACTTCAGTTGTAAGTAAAATATAGGGTAACCTGTGCGCCAGGAAAAATTTAAACTATTTTAATTACTTACAATGGAGCTTGAAAATTTTTGAGAATTTGCAATACTGAGGCTTTAGGGAAAATTGAAGGATCTTTCGTCTACACATGGTGGAGGGAACTTAAGGGAACAATATTGGGCTACAGATAAACTCTTGCTACTCCAAGTGTGGTCCATGCATCAGCAGCATCAGCAGGATCCTACAGCTTATTAGAAATGCAGAATCTAAAGCCCCACCTAGACCTACAGAATCAGTACGTGACCTTTCAGGAGATGTGGTGATTTGTGTGCCTGAGAAGCATGGATTTTACCTCTGAGAGGCATCAGGTACTGGAAGATCAGTTTTTCAAAATAGACTATGTCAGGAAGTACAGAAACTACAGAAATAGACAAAGAGCTCAAGGGGGGTGACTGACCCTAGTCTGATGAATGGCACTAAAATAGTAGAAGCCTTTATGATTACAAGTTGGCCTCCTCTTTTATTTTTTTCTCTGGAGAGAAGCAGAGCATGGTCAGGGTTTGGAATGTTTCACTGGGACTGGATCAGGACCTTCATATATCCAAACTACTGAAATACATATGGTGCCCACCCCACCCATGTAATTCATTACTAAAAACAATACAAAATGAGTGTGAGAAGTGTCTGTACAGTTGTGATTTTCCAGTGATTGTTCTGTGATGCTTCAGTGGGTAAATTCAACTATCAAATTTTTATGCAGTTAGCATCAACCCCATGAAACTGACTTGAATTTGTGCTATAATCACAAAGTTTAGAGCTCTGCTCTTCACTGAGATAACCACTAGACACATGTACCTGTTTAAACTTAAATTTTAATTAATTAGAATTAAATACATGTTAAAATTCCTCTTCAGTGGCTCTAGCCACCTGTTCAGTGCCCAGTAGCCCCATGTGTCCAGTGGTGACTGTATAGAACAGGGAAATGATAGACTATTTCCTTCGTCAGAGAAACTTGTATTGGGATAGATAGAGTGATGATAGATAGGTAGAGAATGGATAGACAGATGATAGAATAGATGGACACATAGACACATGTACTGTAGTGTGCTGGGGCAAGTCCATCCTTGCTCTGTAGAGCCAATTGTAAATATTCAGGACTTTTGTGAGATGGTTGTTAAACTTTTGAAGCTTGAAACTGACCATGATCCTTATTTTGCCACCATCATAGTTATTATAATTTGAGTCAGAAGAAGCCATTGATGGTGAAACTAGTTGGTGAAACGTCAGGAGGAATAGGATATTTACATAGTCTAAAATCTTTCCCCATAGGTTACTTACTCATTATGAAGGGAAAAATAAATCTTTACAGTAGATTGAGCTTGTGAGCACACTTTCACCAAGTATTCGTAGTTAAAATCACCCTTACTGGGCCAGTGTGCCTCCTGATTTGATGTTAGATACAAATTTCTTGGCAGAGGTTCTGACTCAGTGGATCTGGAGGAGGCTGAGAACCTGCATTTGTTCTGATGTAGGTGATCCACAGACCCCTGGGTGACTTCCAGGTGTGAGAGGCTTGTTAAGGGCTGCCCTTCCTGCTTTAAACATGGCTATTCGTGTGTGCTTCTAGAAGGTACATCAAGCTACCATTTCTAATATTTGAATGTGTATCATTCTGCAGTGTGGCAGAAATTTTCCTCTTCCTGGAAAGCTTTCTGCACATTTTCGGAACAAGCCCCTCCCTCTAGTCTTCCCCAACAGGAATGCCAAGAAGTCCCCTTGGTTACCTTTATGGGACTCAGTTTCTTTCGAATTCTGGGAGTCAATCATCAGCTGAAGGAAATCTACTCGGTGCTGGAAGCAGAAAGGGAAATTTAAGTGACAGAAAGTGACTTATGAAGTCAGAATTAAATCAGGAGTGCAGTCCTCAATGTCCCTTCTGACAATATAGGTCCCTGAAGTCCGGAGTCTGACAGGTGTTGCCTGAGTCATCAGTGAACAAAAACATCCATCTAAGACCCCAGAGGGCAGGATGTTTCCCTGGGAGAATTGCAGCTATCATGTGCAACTGGTTTTTGGTCTTTGTCCTCCCTGATCTTTTGTTTCTCTGGCTTTTGCACAGTGTTTCCTGGCCAAAGAATTGCCTGCTCCTTTTCCCATCACACCTGCTTGCTTAGGACTTAAGTTCTTTTTGTTCTGATGACTTCATTCTCAAGCAATGGCCACATAGATTAATGTTCTGACATTTTCAGAGCTCCTTTGCAGATTTTTTGTGGTAGCATCGTCAAGTGCTCCACCCTCCCAGAACTCTGTACAATGTTCAGTGATATCTAGGTACCCAGTTCTGCCTCTGTGACCTGTAGGCATCCTTGGCCTGGTTTGGAGGCCTCATGAGGGCAAAGCAGGATCAGCCGGCTTACAGCCCCAAGGCCGAGAGAAGACCTGGGCCCACCTGTGTCCATTGAGCATGCTCATATTTAACATACACTATATTCAGCAGGTAGCCAGAGAGGGCGTTCCTCGGAGAATGTCTGAAATAACTTAAAATGATTCCTTAGCAGTCTACAGTGTTGGGAAATTATAATAGCAGTAAAATCATTGTTAAAGAGTAATCGTTTTCCTCTGACAATTTACTGAAGTGAAGGGAAGTGGTTAATTTTTTTTCACCAACATTTATGCTATGACATACTAATTACTGTGCCTGATACTAATTTTAAATATAGTCTGTCTCATTCTTATATCTGCCTCCCATCCTCCACCTCTTCATTTCTACAAAATGAATTCTTTTATTCTTTACTTTTCTGTCTTCCTTTAAAAAATACACATAAATGCCCAAATTATAAGAATATAATTTCCCAAATTATCAAAAAGTGAACATCTACACGTAACCACCACCAGATTTTACCTTTTGTTTATCTTGGAGGCGACTTTCTTTCATCCTTTTTACAGAGTTTTTAAAAAAGTTTGTAATGTCTTTTGCAAACACAGAGATATTTAATGCTTCAAAAATTGGGGTAAGGAATGGAAAGAGTGCTATAGGGGATAAAAAAAGAAAACCATCATGAAAACACAAAATTTACCTGGAGCAATTAAAATTTTCTCTATGAGTGTGAAAAGTAAGAGACTTCAGGCTTCTCAAGCAAGAACCATTCCCTCTGTGACCTTGGCTCATCTTCCAGGCCAATGGCTGAGCAATGGCACATCCACACTTAGGGGCCACCACTATAGCTGTGAAATCAATGACCTCTTCTGCATTTTGGGTGACAGGATTAAGTTAACAGGATTAAATTCCCTGACCTCTTAGCCCTTATACAAGACTATGGTCTGCTGCTTTAATTAATTGTGCTTTTCATGAAATAGTAGTTGTGATAGAAATAATACATCCTATGTCCTTCATTTACTGTGGGATGGAACTAGAAATCAATAATTAAAAGAAATTTGGGAAACTCAGAAGTATGTGGAAATTAAATAATGTACTTCTCCATAAGCAATGGGTCAAAGTATAAATCGAATGGGCAATTAGAAATTGTTTTACAATGAATCAAAATGATGATATGATATGCCCAAACTATGGGATATAAGAAAAGCAGTGCTCAGAGGAAAATTTATAACTTTAAAAGTCTAAATGTATAAAAAAAGAAAGATCTAAAATCAATACTCTAATTTTACACCATAAAACAGTGAAAAAAGAAAAACAAAATAAACATAATTAAAGCAGTAGGAAAAATTATAAGAATAAATAAAGTAGAAACTAATGAAATAGACACTTAAAACACTAGAGAAAAATTAATAAGACAAAAAGATTGCACTTTGAATATATCATCAAAATTAGCAAACCTTTAGCTAGATTGACCAAGAAAAAATGAGAGGCTACTTATATTAATACTCTCAGAAATGAAAGCAGGCATTGACTACTGACATTAACACAATTATATAAAGAGGAAAGCAATGAAAAGGGGAATAAAAAATAGAGAAAGAGAAATATCATGGAAATCATTTGTAGGAGCTGTCCGGGATAGGCAAATCTAGAGAGACAGAATATAGATTAGTGGTTGCATAGAGTGATCAGGTTGACAGGTTAGTGGTACATAAAATTACAGGTGTTTACAATTCAAGAAGAAGACATAACAATTTTAAATATTTACACCTCCAACACCGGTGTGCCCAGATTCTTGAAGCAAATCCTACTTGATGTAAAGAAAATGATAAACAACAGCACTATACTAGCTGCAGACTTCAACACCCTACTGACAACAGGACAGATCTTCCAAACATAAAATAAACAAAGCAACACTGGATGTAAACAGAATTCCAGATCAAATGGGCCTAAGAGACATTTACAGAACTTTCTACCCAAAAACCACTGAACATACATTCTTCTCATCAGCTCATGGGGACATTCTCTAAGATTGACCACATCCTATGCCAGAAAACATGTTTCAACAAATTTAAAAACTAGAAATTATATGGTATATCTTCTCAGACCACAGTGGAATAAAATTAGAAATCAGTTCAAACAGAAACACTCATCTCTACACAAAGTCATGGAAACTAAACAACCTACTGCTGAACGATTATTGGGTCAAGAAGGAAAGTAAGATGGAAATCAAAAGATTCTTTGAATTAAATGATGAAGGGGACAGAAGTTATCAAAATCTGTGGAACACAGCTAAAGCAGCCCTGAGAGGAAAATTCATACTCTTAAATGCCTACATCCAAAATACAGAAAGATCATAATCCAAAAAAAAAAAAATCTAATGAATTCACTCAAAGAACTGGAAAAAGAACAAACCAATCCCATACTCTGAAGAAGAAAAGAAATAACCAAGATCAGAGGAAAACTAAATGAAATCGATAACAAAAGAAATATATGAAAGATTAATGAAACAAAAAGCTGGTTCTTTGAAAAGATAAATAACATTGACATTCATCTTGCTAGATTAACCAGAAGCAGAAAAGAAAGGACTCTAATAAACTCAATTAGGAATGGAAATGGAGAAATTACAACTGATACCACAGAAATACAAACTATCATCTGTGAATACTATAAAAATCTCTATGCACACAAACTTGAAAATGTCAAGGAAATGGGAAAATTCTTAGAAGCACGGTGCCTCTCTAGGCTCAATGAGGAAGAAATAGAACTGAATAGACCAATATCAAGTACTGAAATTGAAGCAATAAAATCCTTTTGAAAAAAAAATCCTGGACCAGATGGTTTCTCACCTGAATTCTACCAGACTTACAAAGAAGAACTGGTACCTATCCCATAGAAATTATTCCACAACATTGAGAAGGAAGGAACCCTCCCCAACATGTTTTATGAAGCCATCTTCACTGTGATACCAAAACCAGGAAAGGACTCAACAACAAAAGAAAATTACAGACCAATATCTCTTATGAATACTAATGCAAAATCCTCAATAAAATCCTAGCAAATCAAATTTAGCTGCTCATCAAAAAAATAGTCTATCATGACCACATGGGCTTCATCCCAGAGATACAGGGATGGTTTAACATATGCAAATCTATAAATGTAATTCACCACATAAACAGAACTAAAAGTGAAGACAATATGATCTTCTGAATAGATGCAGAAAAGGCATTCTACAAAATTCAGCACCCTTTTACGATAAGAACACTTAACAAAATAGGCATAGACGGGACTTACTTCAAAATGGTAAAAGCCATATATGACAAACCCACAGCCAACATCATACTGGATGGGGAAACAATGAAAGCATTCCTGTGTAGAACTGGAACCAGACAAGGTGTGCTCTATTGCCACTTGTGTTCAACATAGTGCTGGAAGTCTTAGTCAGACAAGAGAAGGAAATCAAGGGCATCCAAATGGAAGCAGAAGAGGTCAAACTACTGATTTTTGCTGATGTTATAATCTTATATCTAGAAATCCCCAAAGATTCTGCCAAGAGACTACTGGAATTGATAAATAAGTTCAACAGACTCTCAGGTTAGAAGATCAATGTAAGCAAATCAGTAGCACTCATATATGCTAACAACAGTCAAACTGAGAACCAAATCAAAGATTCAATACCTCTCACAGTACCAACAAAGAAAAGAAAATACATAGGAGTGTATTTAACTAAGGAGGTGAAAGACCTCTATAGGGAGAACTATGAAACACTGAGGAAGGAAATAGCAGAGTATGTAAAGAGATGGAAAACCATACCATGCTCATGGATCGGCAGAATCAACATTGTTAAAATGTCTATACTACCCCAAGTGATCTACAGATTCAATACAATCCCTTTTAGACTACCAACATAATTTTTCAGAGATCTAGAAACAATAATTCTACACTTCATATGGAACAGGAGAAGAACCCATATAACTAAAGCCATCTTAAGCAAAAAGAACAAATTGGGATGGACATATTTGAAACACGGACTTCGGTGGGGGAGGGAAGCAAGGGAAACACACGTAACCTAAACATATGTACACCCATAATTTGCTGAAAAAAAAAAAAAAAGAACAAATTGGGGGCATCAATTTACCAGGCTATTGTAACCAAAACAGTATGGTACTGGCACAAGAACAGAGACAAAGACCAACTGGAACAGGACTGAGAACCCAGGCATAAAACCATCCTCATTATAGCCATCAGCTCTTTGACAAAGCAGACAAAAGCACACATTGGGGAAAAGAATCCCCATTCAATAAATGGTGCTGGGAAAATTGAATAGTGACAAGTAGAAGACTGAAACTGGATCCATACCTCTCACTGCTCACAACAATCGAGACACAATGGCTAACAGACTTAAACCTAAGGCACGAAACTATATGAATCTAGAAGAAAATATTGGGAAAACTCCTATAGACATTGGCGTAGGGAAGTAATTTATGAAAAAGACCTCAAAAGCAATCACAGCATCAACAAAATGAAATAAATGGTAACTAATGAAATTAAAAATTTCTGCACAGCCACAGAAGCTATCACTAGAGCAAATCGACAACCTACAGAATGGGAGAAAATATTTGCATGCTATACATCTGATAAAGGGCTGATAACGAGAATCTATATAGAACTCAGGAAAATCAGCAAGAAAAAAATCAAACAACCCCATTAAAAAGTGGGCAAAGGACATAAACAGAACCTTTTCAAAAGAAGATAGAGTAGTGGCCAAGAAACATATGAAAAAATGCCCAATATCTCTAATCATCAGGGAAATGTAAATCAAAATCAGAATAAGGTATTACTTAACTCAAGTGAGAATGGCTTTTATCAAAAAGCCCGAAAATAACAAATGTTGGCATGGATGTGGAGAGATAGGAACACTCATACACTCCTGGAGGGCTAGTACTACCTCGAGTACTAGTACAACCTCTGCAGAAAGTAATGTAGAGATACCTTAAAGAACTAAAAATGGAACTACTATTTGATCCAGGAATCCCACTCCTGGGCATCTATCTATACTTAGGAAACAAAGACATTATATAAAAATGACATCTACACTCGAATGTTTATTGCAGCACAATTCACAAATGCAAAGATGTGGAAAGAACCCATATGCCCATCAATGCATGAGTGGATTAATAAAATGTGGTATATGTATACCATGGAGTACTACTGAGCCCCCAAAACAATGATGAACTAATACCTCTTGTATTATCCTGGATGGAGCTAGAGCCCATTCTCTGAAGTGAAATGTCACAAGAATGGAAAAACAAGCACCACATATACTTACCATCAAATTGGTACTAATTGATCAACACTAATGTGCACATATCAAAGTGATATTCACTGGGTGTCAGACAGGTGGGAGGGGGAAACAGAGATGGGTATATTCACACCTAATGGGTAAGGTACACGCTGTCTCAGTGTTGAGCATGCATGTAGCTCTGACTTAGGTGGTGCCAAGGCAATATATATAACCTAAACTTTTATACCCCCATAATATTCTGAAATAAAGAGAAGAAAAATAGAAAAACAAAAAAAGAAAAAAATAATGTTAAGAAAATAAAAAAAAATTACAGGTACCTGAGTTGATGAAAATATTGTAAAGTTGACAATGGTGATGGTTACACATATGTTTGAATGTATTATCAACCATTGAAATGTCCATTTTAAATGTGTAAATTATATGGTATTTCAACTATATCTCGATAAAGTAGTTATTTTAAAAAAGAGAGAGAAAAAGAAATAATAGTCCACATACTTATTGAGAGAAGGACAGGATCTAAAAAATCAATTTTTAAGAGCTTCCTGGTGTTTTCCACAAAAGGATCTTGTGGGTTGTTGAGGGAATCAATGTTCACTCCAAATGATGTGCCCGTGATCACATCCATGCTGTAGGCCCCAAAGAAGCTGAGTAGAGAAAGACATGGAAAATTGAAATTAGCACTGCTTCACCATTTTTCTAGTACACATGCAGCAGGATGGGTGTGAAATCCGTGTGAATTGTCAGGAGATGTCAAGAACCATGGCCTTTCAGAACTACCTGCTGGATCATCTCCCATCCCACTCAGTCACGATGTGATTATCAAGTGCCAGTGATGCAGCTGGCCCTGTGCTGGGGTTGGTGGGGACACTAAGTCAAGTTAGACCCACTTCTGAGCTCTAGGAGCTCAGTCACTAGGGGACAGAGACCCAGAGTCAGACAAACTACAGGAGAGTATGTTGAGTGTGGATGACAACAGGGGTGTAAGCCATGCTTCATCAGGACAAGAGTGGAATAACTAACTGTTCCTAGGGACTCAAGAAAGGAGACATTGCTTCAGCAGAGTCTATGCCAAGAGCTGATTGATCTTTAGCACAGAACAGCAAGACCCTGTTCTGAGTCGCCACAAACATCTTCTCTCCTCTACACTCTCTGTAAGGCTCCTGAAAGGCCTACTTCCCCCAACTCCTATGATCTGGGGTTGGCCTGTTGGCAGGAGCATTTTTGTAAAAGGTAAGAACTGAGAATGTTCCTAGGTAAAAACATATTAGATAACAAAATAATAGATCCCACCAAAATTGATTGAGGGGGGTCCCATTATCAAGTGAGCACAAGTTCCCAGTCTGCACAGGACAGGCTGAGTGTACACCTGTCTTTCCTGCATAATCAGACATACATCTGTTTAGACTAAATGACAGGATTGCTCTAACCATAGCCTTTACAGGGCCCTCTCTCTTTTGAGATTGAACAAAGGAGAAGTGGTGGGAAGTTTTAATATTTAGTATTTCATGGTATCCTCAGTGAAAATATGAAGGGATCGAAGTTCTCCCAAGTTTCCTGTTGTTAATCTTCTGCCCTGCCCCTGCCAGCCAACAGGTACTCGGCCACTTGACCTCCCACCATTCCATACCATCTGTGCCCAAAACTTTGGTGCAATCATGTTTCTTCTTTCTAAGCTATGTATTTTGTCTTCCAGAACATTCAAAGAACAATTCATCATATTAATTACTCATGACTCCTGTGCACAGGGGAAAAGACCCTTCCCCATTTCCAGCTGCCCTGCCTTCTCATGCAATCTCCCCCTCCCGCCGGTGGCACATTGGAGTTGTAACACCACACCTCTGCTTCTGTCTGGTCACTGCAATAACTTAACAGTGGGAACATCAGCTCTGTGGCAGGCAGCTAGAGGGTTTCATGACAGCTCATAACCCCGAGACTGTGCTCCTACTTACTCTTTCAAGGTGATGGTCTTGCCTTTCTTTGCTTCCTGCTTCAGGTTTCTCACCAACACATCTGCATACTGGCTCATGATGGGGAACATCTAAGCACAAAACACAACACCATACATAGTTAAATGTGTAGACTCAAGTCCCAGAAGGACATGGCTTTCCCTAGCATGGAGTAGGAAGTGATATTTTATAATGAATTTTGTGATCTCTCTTCTGGGCAGAAAGATAAAAGACCATTTTTAGGAAGCTCAACCTTAGTGGACTACCTCCTGGATAGGGACCATAATGTTATTTTCTCCCTGTTCCCAAATTCATACTTTCAGTTTCTAAGTAGAAGTCCTCGTATTTTCTTACCTCTTTCAGTTTTCCGCTGGTGAAGGTCGGAGACAGCAATGCTCGTATTCTCTTCCATTCCTCATCTTCAGATATAAAGATGGCACTTTTCATAAATCCCACTGGACCAAAAGGCTGGAGTTCAAATCAAAACCGTTTTGTCCTTTATACGTTTTCTAGATCTCCACAGATGTAAAAATGTATGAAACAACATCACTCATTTAACAAATGTTAGGTGACTGTCACCCAGGTGGCAGGCTCCATGCTAGGTGCTCAGTGTATTATAGGTTTATCCTAAATGCCTGCCCTCCTCTAAGCATGTGTGTATGTGTGTGTGTGTGTGTGTGTGTGTGTGTGTGTGTCTGAGGTCACCTGGTGTGGTTTCCAGCCTCTGAATCTGAGTCTCCTTTTAAATGCAAATGACCCCCTGGTGGGGAACCTTTTCTTCCAGGGTAACAGAGGGGAACAAGATCTGTACCTCCTCAAGGGCTGTGCAGAGAAAAAAGGGACAGGTGACAGTTTTCCAGGTGGCCTTGGCAGACTGTGGGTTGCTTGAGACTACTTCTGTCTTTACTTACAACATAGCATGAACAACTTGACAACGGAATACCTTGAGGTAGTAATTTTTTTAAGATAGTAAATAATACAGAAAAGATTATGAATCTATTTTGAAGAAATAATACAATTACTCGAAAGTCCTTTTCTCTTAATTTTTTTTCACAGGGATAGAGGAGAAAGAAAGAGATAATTCTATTTCCTAATTTGGGAATCACTAGAAGTCCTCTGGAAAAAAAAATAAAGTAGTAGGTGTGAATCCTCATGCAGTTCAGACTTACTGTACAGCTACTCTAGTCAAGACAGTGTGGTACTGGATCAGGGATAGACACAGTGATCAACGTAACAGAACAGAGAATGAGAAATAGACACACACAAAGAGGCCGCACTGATTTTTGACAAAAGTGCAAAAAGCAATTCAATGGAGGGAGGACAGCCTTTCTAAAATGGTGTTGGAACAATTTGACACCCATAGTCCACAAGAAATGGACCTTGACCTAAACCTCATGCTTTATGCAAAAATTTACAGAAAATGGATCATAGACGTAACTGTAAAGCATCCAACTATTTAACCTTTAGAAAAATCAGCAACAATAGAGGAGGGCTGAGGAAGAATTTTCTGATTTGATGCCAAAAGCACAATGCATGAAAGGAAAAATTAATGAACTTGCCTACTCAAAGCTAAAAAAAGTTTGTTGTGATTAGAGGCCCTGTTAAGAGAAAAAGACAAGCTACACATCATGACTGCAGAAGAATAGCAGGAGGGAGCCTCATGGTGATGGAACAGTTCTGTGTCTTCATTGTGCTGGTATCACATTCACGAATCTATGAATGTGATAAATTTGCATAAAGCTACACGCACTTACACACATCCACAAAAATGAGGACACATAACACTGACGAAATCTTAAAAAGCTCTGTGGATAATATCAATGTCAATTTCCTGTAACTATATTGGTAGGCATATACTAGATTTATACTGATGCAAAATGTTACCATTGGGGGAAGCAGGATGAAGTGTACATGGAAACTCCTTGTACCTTTTCTTGACAATTTTCTGTGAATCTATCAGAATTTCAAAATAAAAATTTAATAAATAAAAAAATAAAGATATAAAGTTAAAACCTGGATGCCTACCCGCCGGTTTGTGAAGACAGAATGACATTCTTTCACTAGCACTGTTTTGATCATGTCGGGATCCGTGATAGCCAACACAGGCCGTCGACCATCATACAACCTGTGTCAGGAAAAAAGAGCTGATTAAACTCTACAAGCCTAATTCTGCAGCTGGAGCCACACCCAGGGATCCAGACTTTGATCCTCACATTACATAATCCATATCCCAGTTGTACAACACACAGCAACATTAGGTCCTAGTTTAAGGTAGGGTGGGACATGCAGCAAGGTTCTGACCACAGAAGCCACTGGAGTCTTCATAGAATGAAGGGAAATGTGGCTCAAGTGGAGAAGACACATTTAAATACAAAATAGCTCTTCTATAAGATCATGGTTAGAAATAACAGGAAATCTTTTGTTATGAGGTACAAAGGAAGAGGGAAACCTTCTCCCACTTGCTTGCAGTGTACACAGGATTGCACCTCTTCTGTGGCTCTTTCCAAACCCCCAGCAGCTTTGAAAAGGGAACAGCTGCTGCAGTTGGATGAGGTCACCCTCAAAATCATAAAGTCTGTTAGCCCACTGGGAACACAGTGGTTTAATATATTCCTTAACTCTTCTTCAAAGTCAGTAGAATGGAGTAGACAAAGAAAAACTTGTACATACTTCTCTTGAAAATTGTTCACTTAAATTTAAAAAACATCAGAAAACAAAGCTCCACACTTGCAGAGAAAGGAAAGAAAAAAAAAGAGTATAAATGATTTCCAGTCTGTTCATCGCTATCTCCCAGATCTTCTTTCAAAAGCACATATTAAACCCAAAAAATTAATTTAAAAATTTGGCTTTATTTAAAAATGAATCACTGTGGGAGGGAGTTAATGCCATGCATTTACGAGCACATATTAAAACAGTCTGAAACGATGCATTTCATGCAATTAAAGGTAACCTAAGGTAGGAAAAAAGGAGAAGAGGTGAAAAGCCAGACACTGGACAGAAAGCGATGCTGGGAGCTCCTGGTCGATGAAACCTGGAGAAAAGTGGTCACTGGCAACACTCTCAGCCTCATTGAGACCGCAGACCTCAACACCTGGTGACCTATGTAATTCTTGGTAGGATAAACCTACAAAAGCTTTTCAATAGAGAGTGTGAAAGTTGTCAGAACCAAAATGGAGTCACAATGATGTTATAAAAATAAATAAAGCCTGACAGATCCTGGGAAGGCTACGAAGAGAGCATTCTCATGCTTGCATGCCTAAAAACAAAACTGTCACAAAATACTCAACAAAAACCACACCTTGCACAAAGAGCACAGTATTGTTACAGTAAAAGTACTGCTTGGAGGACATCTGCCCAGTAACTGCCTGTCCAGCCTCGGACTGGTTTCCCCTTGTTATTGATCTTTGTAGCTACGGACAATTATTTCAAAATAGTTCTGTTATCCTGCTCATTTTCCCCTTTAACAACCTTTTTCTTCCTTTACTTCCCTGAATGGCACATAGATTGCTATAGCGTGCACATTTCCATTGGAATGCTTTACTCCCAAATAAATATCTTCTTTCAGAGAGCCTCTCTCTGTTATTTCGGTTGACAGCAGTTTCATCCCAAGAGGCTCTGGGCTGAGATTGTCCTTCATATGTGGGGTACATCACCACAGCAGAAAGTCTATCCAATGGAAGTTTCCAGAATACTCACCCCCACACTTTCCCATACTTTTTATAACATTCTTCATCAAATTTCCAAAGTCCCTGGGAAGAGAAACAACATAAAATTCAATTGCTATTTTAAATATCCTCAACCCTGCCTCTATTCGGGCAAAAAAGAGTGGAATCTGAAGAAATCAGACTGACTATGTTTCACTGGAAGTAAGAGGAAACCTTTTGTGCAGAGATGTTCAGGAGAATGGAGGGAAATAGAGGAGATAATTGCAATGGATGATTTAATGTCACCCTTGAATTTTCTCCAAATATTGTAGATATAGAATGACTTAGCCTTGTTTATGAATACTAAATAACTCCCCGTATTTCTGAAGTGTTTTTGTACATGCATGTATTCTTTCTAACGTCTCATAACCATCTGAACAGTCACCTGCATGGGCATGTGAGGAAACTGAGGCTGAGGGAGAGCGAGCAAGTGTCTAGGGGGATGCACATTCTTTCATCTCATGCAGCATCCTTTTCATTTATCTCAGGAGTTTTCTCTAGAATTCTAGTGGAATTTGGAAGTCAAAGACATCAGGGACCTCTTTTTGGTCTACAGATTTCTATCAGTCTAAGGTATGTTGTTGAGTGAGAAAATGAGTAACGAGTGACAGAGGAAATGACAAAATGGGCTCGCCTGCTGCTGTCCAGTTCAAAATGGAAAAGATCAGGAAACACAGCTTCTTTCACATGGGACAAATTACCATACTTGCTCCAAGTCTTCACTTCTGAAGCCCCAAAATAAATTTTTCTGGTGCTATGTTTCAGTTGTGATATTTTAACTATGCAAAAGAAGGTCCTACAAATATGGATCTTGGGGTACACTTAGTAAAGGGTTGATCTGAACAAGTTGAACAGGATATTATTGCTTTTGCAGAGGGAAAAATATGGAGTCTTAGGCAGTAATTAGGCAAGAAATGCCTGAGTTGGGAGAATTAGAATCTGAGCAGGAAGTCTGAAGTGTGTGGGAAAGGAAATCGGGCACAGAGACCAGTCTGCACACAGGCTTTGCTGGTCGCCTCATGGATGTGAGCTGATGACTTTATGTTCAAGGGCCAGGCCCTGAGTGAGGAATTAGCTACAACGGCTTGGCCAAAATTCACAATCCTCATGATACTTATAGTACAATTAATTTAAATGCTTGGCAATTTTGTTTTGTTTTTTGATACAAAGTCTTGCGCTGTTGCCCTGGCTGAAGTGTGGTGATGTCAGCCTACCTCACAGCAACCTCAAACCCCTGGACTCAAGAAATCCTATTCCTGATCAAATTAAAAAGCTTCTGCACGGCCAAAGAAACTGTCACAAGAGCCAACAGGCAACCCACAGAATGGGAGAAAATTTTCACGTGCTACAAATCCGACAGAGGGCTGATAACTAGAATCTATTTAGAACTCAGAAAACTCAGCAAGAAAAAATCAAAAAGCCCTATCAAAAAGTGGGCAAAGGATATGAACAGAAACTTTTCAAAAGAAGACAGAATAATGGCCAAAAAGCATATGAAAAAATGCTCAACATCTCTAATCATCAGGGAAATGCAAATCAAAACCACAATGAGATATCACCTATCTCCAGTGAGACTGGCCTTTATCAAAAAGACCCAAAACAATAAATGTTGGCGTGGATGCGGAGAGGTAGGAACACTCATACACTGCTGGTGGGACTGCAAATTAGTGCAACCTCTGTGGAAAGCAATATGGAGATACCTTAAAGACATACAAGTAGAACTACCATTTGACCCAGCAATCCCATTACTGGGCATCTACCCAAAAGAGCAAAAGTCACTCTATGAAAAAGACACCTGCACTCGAATGTTCATGGCAGCACAATCACAATTGCAAAGATGTGGAAACAACCCAAGTGTCCATCAATACATGAGTGGATTAATAAACTGTGGTATATGTATACCATGGAGTACTATTCAGCTTTAAGAAACAATGGTGATATAGTACCTCTTATATACTCCTTGAAAGCGCTGGAACACATTCTACTAAGCGAGATATCCCAAGAATGGAAAAACAAGCACCACATATACTCACCATCAAACTGGTATTAGCTGATCAACATTTAAGTGCACATATAAGAATAACATGTATTAGATGTTGGGCAGAGAGAGGGGGGAGGGGGGAGGAGGGGACGGGCATATACACAAACAATGAGTGCGTTGCGCACCTCCGGGGGAATGGACACACTTGAAGCTCGGACTTGGGGGGGAGGGAGGGTAAGGGCATCATACGTAACCTAATCATCTGTACCCCCATAACATGCTGAAATAAAAAAAAAAAAAAGAAATCCTATTCCTTCAGCCTCCCAAGTAGCTGGGACTACAGGCGCAAACCAACATGCCTGGCTATTTTTTTTCTAGTTTTCATAGAGATGAGGGTCTCGCTTTTGTTCAGGCTGTTCTCGAACTCCTGACCTCAAGCGATCCTCCTGCCTTGGCCTCCCAGAGTGCTGGGATTATGAGTGTGAGCCACCAGGCCCAGCCAATTCTTGGTAATTTTGTCAAATCATCTCCTTTCTGGATATTTTGGAAAAGCAGGTCTGCTTTTATTAAAACAAAACAAAACAAAATTCATTTCATTGCTAAATATCTGAAGTCAATGGACAACCAACACCTTGTCTCAGTTATATCGACTCCCTGCTGAGACTCACTCAGAGGGTGCCACCTTTCAAGGAAAAGAAACAAAGCAGAACGCTCTTGTTTTGCCTTGTTTATTTCCAAAATATACCATGGAGAGGAAAAGCTGGGGTACAACTATGAAGTACCCAGAAGAAATTTAGCAGTTCTTGAGAGAATTCACATAGGTGCAAATTACCCATGAATACAAGGGCTGCCTAATAAACTGACATTTACAAGCTGTGCAGGAGGAACGAAAAGAAGGCACTCAATTGCTCTTGCTAAATAAGAAAGTTTGAATTTGGTGCACACAGCTTAATGAGCCACTACTGGTGGTCCCCCTTCCTGCATTCCTCCTAATACTAAGTATGACTGTACCTTCTTGTGAATATGCACTAGGCAAAAAGACTTTCCTCACAAAGTCTGAACATCAAGCCCGAATATTAAGTTCTGATCTGCCAGAGATCTGGGCTGTTCAGTTGAGCCAAATCTGAGGATCCCAAGAATAGACAACAGAACCCCGGAGTGAACCTGGCTATGCTCTGGGTGGGGTCTACACATCATTTCTGAGGTGTAAAACCTCAGAACTTCCTTCTGAGGAGGGGCATTTTTACCAATGGAAAAAGCTGGTGTTTGCAACCATAAGAAGCAAAAGAGCGAGTTCAAAAATACCCACCTTGCGGTAAGACAGAACATTTCCCACAATAGGCAGAGGTGCGGGCCCAGGAATTCCCAGCTTCTTGAAAAGTCCATGTGAATGAGTGTCATATCTATAAAGTGAAAGAGAAAGCCAAGTAACAGGGATTGTGGTTTTATAGATACGGGAGCTGTCCAGTCACTGACTAAGGAACTGCAGTGGCCAAGACAGAGAAGTCGTGCCTAGGCAATACCTAATAACTGCAATGCCAACAGCAATAGCTGCATTTGCCCATCATCTTCTTTCCTGCCTCCTGTGTGAGATCCCACCCCAAGTCAGAATGATCAACTAAAAGGAGCTGAAATCTTCAGGGTTCCAATCCTGGTATGAATACTTTATAAATGTTCCCAAAATTGAATGCTCCTTGAGTGGTTCAGACTGGAATTCTTCCAGGGCATTTCATTCTCTTATGTCCATGTAGTAAATTAACTCTTCCATGATTTGGAAATTCTTGTTCTCAGTAAAAAAGGTGTAAATTTTTTTCTTCTGCTTCAATGATGTGATTTTGTGTGAGTGCATGCACTCAATCACAGATGGTCACCACAGCCTATGGTGACACTGTTCTTAGGGTTTGTTCTGAGACTTATCCTTTCTCTTCCCTCTAAAATCTGACCCTGTTTTAAGATCCGGCCCTTTGTAAAACTGCCTTCAGAAGGAGGTCTTAGAGGAGTCCCAATGTTCTTATTTTTATAGAATGACAACAGTGTTCAAGGCTTCCATTGGACTTGTAGAAAAGTGAGCACTTTTTATCTATACCCAATTATCCGTGGTCAGATGATCTGGTTAACTTGAGCTATAGGGAAGGATATGTGACCTGTATGTTCCCAGAATGACACTCTGCAGAGGAACCAATGACTACAGAATCCATGTCCAGGCCCTTCCTCCCCTTGTGCAATGTGGTCTTCCAACAGGTGATCCCTGAGAAGCACAGTGCCAGGCACACTCATTTTCCCAAGGTGGCCAATTACAAAGCAGTCATTTCACCACCTCTGCACATCAACTCCCTTTGTAGGAAAATCCATTAATGCTGGTGCAGACATCATTGGTGTCTCATGTATGGCCTCCTCCAACTTGGGGTTCTGGATCCCTGCAGACCTTCCCACTGTGGTGCTACTGAGTGATTGCAGATGGGAGGGAGTATAGAGGCTGAGGAAAGTGGCTCCCAGGCACAAAGCTAACCGTGAAGCTTCTAGGCCCACAAGGTTGGCCCTATAGAGGCAAATGAGGAAAGGGTGGCTGAAAAGTATGGTGTGTATAAATGGTTCCACATTTCCCACAGGTGGTGTTAGCTGAAAGAGAAGGGCCTTCCAAAGTTCAGCCTCCATCTTGTTGATAGCATAAGATACATTATGTTACATGACATAAATAACTCTAAAATGTTCCAGATAATTGAATTAAGACCTTATTTCCTCTTCTTTACAGGCTAGCTTTTAGACCACTATAGTTTCCAAATATTCTGTACAAATCCAGTAAATCTTATAATATGTGATAAAATAAAACCGAAAACTGGTGTGAAAGTACATGTATTGGAAGGACCAGCAGCCACAGCTCAGCTAGGCCCACTTGGATCCTTCCGCCAGAAGAATTAGTGGAAGTGTCTGCACCAACTGCTAAAACCAGGGAGGCTTTGGTTATTCCTACTCCAGTCCTTTCCTTTTTTACTGTTACCATGGCAAACCCATTAAACTAATCTCTGTTTCTGAACTTCGACATGATACGTGAACTCTCAAGTGAGGCCATGCAGTGAAGCTAATTTGTCAACAGCATTGGCCCCCAAGGAAAGATCTAGTCTAGTTTCTAAACTTGCATGGGACCCTATAAAGCAGAGGACAGGCTGGGTGAATTTCTTAGTTTCTTACCAGCTCTCCTCTTTTTGATAATGTTCCTTTGGTACAATGAAGGGTAGTAGGAAAACCCAATCATTTCTCTTGTGTTTGTGTTGCCATAAATAGGGCATTGTCTATGTTACAGCTACTGACTCCTGGGTTGCACCAGTGTCTTCTAGAGCTAAGGTATTGTTTGCCAGACTGCCTGAATGTCTACGATAGGTTCACTACCAGAGACACCACACACAGAGTGACACAGATGGTGTCCCTGTGCCTAGGCTTAAGCAGGTGAGATGCCAGCCCATCTGCCATGAAGTATCTCTAATGGGGGTCAGGACCCAGAAGTATCTCTGGGGGTTGGGCCATGAGGGATGAGGAATATTCTCTCAATTCATTCTGCCTGCTCCCTAGATGCCTTTTATATCCCCACTTGCTCACAGTCTCACATACTACTTTAGACTGACAGATTAAGATAATCTAAATTGGATTTTGTGGTTTCTGCTTTTCAGGCCTCTTGCGGATTAATATCAGGGGAGAAATAAAGCTCTATGCTAATGCTAACCGTCCAGACACTATACAAAAAAGGTGAAAGAAAAGAATAAAACTTCATGATTTCCTCCAGATCTCTCCTCTGCTCTAAATATCCACCATTTAGAGGTAAATAATTCTGCATATTACTGGGTGGAGTAGTTGAATTATACGAGCAAGAAGAGTTCTGGGGGATGGCACAGAAAAGAGGTACAAGGCAAGGGAGAGCCTCCCATGAAATCTGGGGTACCCCATGGTGCCTGTGTAAATCATGATTGGGGTGGAAGGCAGGGGAGCAGGAGCCACCCAGGTTTACAGGGAACAATCTCTGTACACATATCCTGCAGCAGACACAGAACCCAGAGGGGAAGTTAAAGAGACAATCACCAAGCCACCCTCTCCTGTGCCTACAATCCCCAGAGCTTGGGAAGGGGGTGAGGATCCCAAGCACACAGTGCCCAGCTGTTTATAATCTGCCTGTGCTGAATCCTGGTTGATTAGTCTAGGTCCAAACTCATGGTCAATCAGAAATTGGCCCCAGGACCAAATGGTGTCACTAAACACTCCTAGTTAGAGAACTTGGAAGATGGATGGTGTCGGGGGAGTTTTATTTATTCCTTCCACAGATCTACCTAAGATCAACAACCGTATGTTTTTGTAGTATCCAACAGTTAAGCAACTTTCCCTCAATTATCTTCTTTGATCTTCAAAACAGATAAGAGAAAGAAGGGCCAGATTGTACCGCATGTCTAAAGTTACAGAACAGTGGAGCTTGGACAGATACTCACAGATAGAGTAGAACCAGGCTGGTAGCCAGGAGAACCCAGGTTTCCAGGGCAAAGTCTGGGATAAGGTCCATGTCCGCTTTCCTTCTTCAGTTCTCTTCTCTGAATTGTTCTCTCAGCAGTGTGCTGCTCTTTTCTGGGCTTTGCGTGTGGAGCTTCCCTTCCCAGCCCAGAGATGATTCAGTGAGCCTGGCTGAATGTTTATGGACTGGGAAAGAAGGCAGGGCAAGAGCTGCAGCCAATAATAGGGCCACCTGTGCTCCGCGTGAGTCATAGGAGCCCTCTCCACCTTGGCAGCTGACAAAGAATCACAGACACACCCACGTTGACCTTACTAGAGTTCATATTCTGTAGGAAATCATAGAAACTCAATCAGAGTTATCACTTCATGGAAACTCAGAGTTATCACTAAGTCCAAAGCTTATGGATTCATATCATAAACTCAATTAAAGCCATTAACATTAAACCTCCTCTAATCTGCCTTGTTTCCAGGGCTGCCCTCATTTTGAAATATGAGGAATGTATCCAAATAAGGTATGCCTCCAGATCTTTACCCAGGCAGTTTCCTCCGCCTACACTGCCCCTGGGGTTCCTGGAAGACTCCTACTCCTCCTTCAAACCCAGGAACACAGAACCTTGTCTTAGAGTTCGCTTCCCGACCTCCCCACACAGCTATCACCACTTCCTCCTCTAGGCAACTCCTATCCCCCTCATGCAGTTCTGCTGTTGTCCACTCTACTCTTTACCACTATTGTGGGTTTCCACATCTGTAACCCTTAGCAGATGGTAAGCTTGTCCAGGGCACAGTCTGGTATTTTTCACAGCTATGTCCCCAGCCCCTAATAGAGTGCTTCACACACAGTGGGCATCCAGAAAGGCTATTGGAGTTGAGCTGGTGATATGGCTGGGCCCCTGTGTGTCCTTTCCCTCTGACTGTTGTAAACCCACCAGCTTCCTTGATGTTAATCCAGTAAAAGTGCTTGGCTGTGCCTCAGCCCCCATCTCTTCATGTTCAGGGTGATAACTGTGGTTCTGTAGGCAAGAGGGCTCCCAAGGGAAGGACATGGTGTGAACAAGATGGAGCTGATGCCTGCACTCGACAGGATCATTCCTGCTGCTTCCTATGCAACTGCAGGGGGTCCTGCAGTAGACAGCAAGGTAGACATATTTTTGAACAAGAAATGACCCCCTCTCTCAGGGAAGACTGCAGGTCAGGGATCAATGAGTGTGAAAGGAGAGTGGAAGACAGCAGCAGCCTGGATGTCCAGGTGGACCCCAACCACCATAGCTACCAATGATGGGGCAGAGGTCGCTATAGGCACACACAGAACCCAGGACTCCAGAAAGATGATCTGAGTCTTGTTATGTGGGCAGTGGTGTTTAAAGCAGATGGTTTTCTGCATTTTAAGGAGTCGAGAATTTTCTAATGGAGAAGAGTATGTCTCAGGAGCTGGTAAGGACCAGGGCTGTTACTGTGACAGTTCCTGTCTCCTGAGAGCTCCCAGATATATTCCTCCTGAGAGGGCAAGAGTGAGCATGTGAAAACTAAATCGTCTCATTATTATCACGTGGACGAATGTTACATGTCTGCTTGGCCTGAAGAATCATGAATTACATGACAAATAAAACCTCAAAGTTCTTAAAACTCAAAAGAAATAGAAGACAGTTAAGCTGAGCTTTTGCACTTCCTTCTCTTGTTATCCTTTCTCTCAGCCCTACTACAAAATTGTTAATCATCCCTCACCAACTCTTTCCATCCTTCTGGCCTGTATGTCTCCAGATCAGGTTCACATTGGCCAGAGTAGGTGGATGTCTGATTGATAAAATGTATTAAGTCACAACTATGTCGCCAGACTCCTTTTCTTTTCCTGAGGGCTAGTTGAACAGCCTGAAATGTCTATCATTATAGTTTTTCATCTTTAGATAAGGGATTTCACTGAGAAACACCTGTTACCATCCACAGCTGCCCCTGGAAAGTTTATACAAGAATTCTTCTATTTATCTGTGTACCGATTCAAGGCAAAGGGGGTAAATGTCTTGTGCCAGTGTTGTGCATGGCGTCGGCTGGAAGCCACACAGTCCCTGTCTTGGGAGCAGCCTCCCAGTAGAGGGAGAGAGACTCATAAATGCTCTTGGATGGTGGTGTGCACATGGCATACCTCTGGAACCTGTGGGCTAATGGGGCCCTACAGAGAGGTAATTAAACGGAGAAGTGCTGCAAAGCTTGAATATCAACAAGTGACAGACATGGGAGGCTGGGAGAAAAATCCCCAGGACAAGGAAGATAAAAGTCCAGAGAATTCTGATAAATTTTGGTCTCTTTTCAGTGGCTTCTCTGGGCTGTGTTAAATAGGATTATGCTGCTATACCTGGTTTACAGATGTAGAAACTGAGGCTCAAGTGATTATAATTGATTTTCCAGCAGGTATGATCACAAGAAAATATTATACATAAAGCTAACACGAAGGGAGGTGAAAAGTCCTCTGCTGGTCTTGTACATCAGTATGCAACACCCACTGCTCCCTGATAAGGCTCACTGTGGGCCATGATGAGACTCAGGAATGAAACAGAAAATTGTTTGAGATTCTTGTTCATATCTCCATGGTTATTCCCACTGCAGCTCCCCCATGGGTCTACCAGAGCAAAGGACTCTATCTCATTCCAGCAGGGAGAAGGAAAGATGCAAAATCTGACCATAGTAATGGTATTGTTGAGAGTATCTCCCTCTTCATGCTTCCAAACAGAGAGGTCCACCAAATACATTCACACTAGGAAAGGTTATAATGTCATTTGATAGCTATCAACAACTTAATTAGCTCACCTAAACTTAAATCCTTTTTTATTCTTTTGGAAACAAAACTTCTATAAAAACTAATTTGTTCATCTTCCTCCAAAACATACTAACCTACAAGTATTTTGTAACTATGCCTGACATGACCGTTCACTTGTCCTGTGAACCACAGGAAGTGATTTGATTGGTTTGAATCCATACCAACACTGTAGACTAGTCATTGGTTGGAACTATAATGTAGCTGGCACCGTGCCCCAACCATTGCCAATGGACGTGCTCTGCAAGGGTAAGTAATACAAGGCTTATTCTTTGTGCTACTAAATTCTAGAGAAAGTAACACCTTCTAACATGAAGAGATTTGCATAGTAAGAGTCATGTTGAATGAGTAAGGAAGACAATGTGTGTCAGAAGAGTACTGCAACCACCCTGTGTCTGTCATGTGCTCACTCCTGTATAAAAGCATTCATCATGTACTTTTAAATTTCTGCTTGAAGTGATTAGGGTACAAAGGTGGGTAAGACTCAGACATTATTCTGTTTGAAAATAAAGACAAACAAATAATTGCTAGACAGTCAAGGAAAAGTAATTATAGATGTAAGGGAAACAGTGTCCTCATCAACATCGAATGGCCTATCTTCTTTCTTGGTGTCGTTATCACTGAATCAAGGTTCAATCTCAAAGAACATACAGAGAAGCATTAGGCTCAGATTATCAGTATCGGCACACAGGTTGTCCAGGGAATTTGTGATGTCAGGAGCATCATGACGCCTATATTTCTGTCCTTTGATATTGTTAGCCCGGGTGCTTACTCTTCTGGGAAGCCTGTCCAGGCATCTCACTGACAAGGAATTGCTTGCTGTATAGGGAGTCAATATTGTTCAGGAATAATTTGGTAATAGATTCAAATTTCGAGGTCACATCTTGAGGGTGTGAATAAATTACAGTAAGATTATATTCCTGTAACTCACGCCTAACTCCCCATTCTTCTCAGCAGGGCAAAACTTGGTTTGGCCAAATGTGTGGCATCTAAATTTGGTGGCTGTAGGAGATAAGTAGCCAACACTTCTGGCCCTCATGGTTGGGGGTGATGGTGAAGACAGCAGCAGGTCCACAGTCTCTCTTGGCATTGGGGGTGGTGAGCATCTCACCTGAATGTCATTGTGTGTTGGTTGGGCTTTGTGTCTGCTGTGTTCAGGGCACATGTCAAGCACTACACATGAAACAGTGAGAATTGTTGCCCCCATTAAGCTATATGGTAACGAGAACGACAAACTGAAGAAATAAACACAAATAAATATTGGATTAAAAATTGGGATAAAATCTATGAAGTAAAAGCATCTTTTACTTAAGCTTCCAGCAGCATTAAGCAGTTGATCTTCCTTTCTTTCCTTAAACTTTATCCTCCTTTGAAAGATATAAAGACAACAGAATTGACAGGACGCGGAGGATGGGAAGTGGGAGACCTTGGGCTTGCCTGGGCCTCTTTCCTTATCTGTCCGTGAGGAAAACTGACCAGACTTGACCAAAGAGGACCAAGGACTTCCTTATCCCCATGAGAAGACCGCTGCAGGACTGCACGCCTCTCTTGACTCTGTGTCCCTATATGATTTTCTGAGACATCCATCCCCTTTATTCTCCTTCACTTGTTTATATCATTTAGGGTCCCCCAGATCTCCCAGCCCACTTTAAAACCAAGAGCTCTTCTGGTCAAGAAGCAGAACAAAGATGGATTAGGATGGACCTGGGAGAAGACAACTGCCCATTTAAGCCAGTAGTTCTAAATTCTGGAGTTGTTTTTCATCTGGGACTGTCAATAAAACTCTCACACACAAACTCCCACTAACACCCTACACTTGCTCACACATACGCCTTAGCTCAGTCAGCAATGGCTTATATATATCATTCTAAGTGCTTTCTCTGCATTAACTTACTCAGTCTGTCCAAAAACCCTACGACATTGACATTGTTACAAATCCTATTTTACAGAGGAGCAAACTAAATGGCAGAGAGGTTAACTGGCATCCAAGGTTACCTCTCTAATTACTGTCACAGCCAGGATGCAAGTTTAGGTCCCCTAGCTTTAGAGCCCAAGGTCTTACTCTTCAGCACAGGCTCAGCCTTGTCCAAGGCCACACAGAATTCCTGGGGGGCAGCACTGCAGCCCAGGCCTTCTGAATGGGGAGTGTCCAGAGCTCTGCCTCCTGCACAGGGACATGTTGAGGCCTCTTAGAAAACCCACTGAGGAGTGCTTGGGTGAGGCAGGGGAAGTTTTTTCTTCTCTCTGGGCCCTGGAGTACAAGCACCTCACTGGACTTTATGGCAAAGAACAGAGGAAGAGGAGGAGGAGGACTTAATCACAACTGTTCACTTTGTACTCCATTCCAGAGCATCTA